AAATGTGATCATAGGAGAGATACTGGGTAATGGGGTGTTTGTAGTGCATGACCTGATTCCCTTTCTTTGAGCACTAGGAATGTCAAGGTCATCTACAGTAGGAGCAGGGGTGTCAATAGGTGTAACAGGGTTTGGACTTACCTCCTAGGAGTTTGACGGTGTCAGATGCTTAGTGTTTGGTAGCTCCACATCTCTGTTACATTGCTGATCTCTACGACGTGTACGTTGGAAGACACGAAAGGGAGCAAGGTCCGGAATAGAAGGAAGAGAGACTTGGCAGACCTAAACCCGCTTCTCCTCTTCCACATTACTCTCCCCCTGAGGAGAAACAGGGAAGAACGGTTCAGAATCAAAGAAGGACACATCTATAGAGACAAAAAACTTATGACTAACGGGATCAAAGCATTGGTATCCCTTTTGAGATGAGGGATACCCTAGAAAGATACAAGGAATGAACCGAGGGTCTAACTTACCCTGAGACGGAGACAAATCATGGACAAAGGCACGACAACCAAAGACTCTCATGGGAATGGAAAATAAAGGGAACTGAGGGAACAACAACTGATGAGGGGCCATGTAGTTCAACACTCTGGAGGGCATGTGATTGATGACATAAGCAGCTGCAAGTATAACATCCATCCAAAACATTTTTGTAACATCATCCCTCAAGCTACCTCAAGGAGGTGTCTGTTTTTTCTTTCTATAACACCATTTTGTTGTGGTGTCTGCGCATGAGCTCCTATGAATAGATCCATGGGAGGCAAAGAACTCATTGAGCTCACCATGGAAATATTCCTTTGCGTTATCTGATTGAAAGATCTGTATTTCAACATGGAATTGTGTAAACACCATCCTCTGGAAGTCTTTCACAATCTTTGGAACTTCATCTCTACTACGCATGGGGAATACCCATGAATAGCGGAAGAAATCATCCATCATTGTGATAAAGTATTTATACCCGCCCTCAGAGATTATAGTAGTGGGCCCCCATACATCAGAATACACAATATGAAAAGGAAAACTAGATCTTTTATTACTTGAATGAAAAGTTGTTCTACATTATTTGCTCAACTGACATGTTTGACACTGAAAATCTGACACTGAACATGACTTAAATAAAACCGGAAACAAAGACTTCACTATTTCAAATGAAACATGACCTAACCGATTATGCCACGAAAAAATTTGGCTCTTATTTGACTGACTGTATGACTCTGAGGATGACAACGAGAGACCAACTTTGTTGTCGAGAATGTAGAGACCATCCACTAGGATTTCTCTACCAAACATCCTCCCAGAAGTTAGATCCTATAAAACACATGAACCAGGAAAAAAGGTTACACTACAGTTTAAAGAGTTTGTGATGCTACTGATTGAAAGCAAATTTATAGGAAGTTAGGGAACATGCAACACACTATTCAGGTTAAGGCCATGGGGAAGGGATATTGATCCTTGGCTTGCAATGGAGGAGAATGATTCATCTGCAAGCCTCACTTTATCCCTTCCTGACAAAAGGCTATAAGTCTGAAACAAGTTTGGCTTACCGGTCATGTGGTTAGAGGCCCCTAAGTTAATGATCCAAGGGGAATCAGTGGTGGTGGTGGTGACATGGAATGTAGAAGCCGCATTACCTGATGTAGATGCAAATGAAGTAGGGGTATCCGTAACTGAACTATCCATCTGTCGCAAAGCCCTACCATATTGCTCCAAGTGATCTCTAAAGGAATTCATGATATCTTCCTTGGGGTCAGAACTAGTAAAGTGGTTCCATGTAGTACCAACAAACTGAGTATCTTGGGTTGCCACATGTGTTACATTATGTGTTGTATTTGGCTTCTTTTGACCTTGCACTTTACCCTGTTCTTGGTTCTTCACTGCCCACTTGGGCTTCCCGTGAATCTCCCAACATGTGTCACGTGTATGTCTTGAGCACCGACAGTGGGTATAAAACAACTTGTATTTATCATCGGCCTTCTTGGATTCACTTTTCTTTCCCACATTGTTACTACCCATTGCAGCCAATGCTACCTGTTACTCCCCCTCAGTTGTAACCATCACACTCCACCTACTTTCTTCAGATTGAACAAGGGCATATACCTTTTGAACCAAAGGCAACTCTTGTGCTTCCTAAGATCTGAACTCTCAAGGGCTCATAAGCAGGGTTCAGTCCCAACAAGAATGCAAAAACCCGCTACTGAGAGACCAACTTCTTATAGGCCTTAGATTCATCATCATGTTTCCATTCTATAGTCTGATAGTGATCCAATTCTTTCCATACTGAAGTAAGGGCTGAATAATAGGCAGACAAACTACGATTCCCCTATTTACAGGTTGAAGATTCAGCTTGCAACTGGTAAATCTTGGCATAATGCCTTTGCTCAGAATAGGTGGTTTTGGCCTGTTCCCAAATCTCACTAGCGGTGTCTGCCCACATAAAGTTCTTCTTCACATCAGGTTCCATGGCTGCAAGGAGTCAAGACATCACCATACTGTTTTCTTGGTCCCACCTATCATGTTCATCTGTCTCACACTTGGGTTCTTTCACTCTTCCATTTATGTATCTAGCTTTTCCCCTTGTTATTACATAAAGTTTCACACTTTTAGCACACTCCAGGTAGTTTAGGCCATTTAAAGGGGTAATTGGCACGGGAAACATCATGTTTTCATCCCCCATACCAGCTGTGCTATGGGTTGGTGTAAATCCAAAAGATGCTGAATCATAGTTTGCCATTGAGGAATAGGGTCACAAATGTACCAGACCAGATCCCACACAATCAGAATGCTAAACTCCCAAGAATTTTACTTCTGGAATGAGAAAGATACTGCTGAAATCAGTCCAGCAATAGTTCAGCCATTAGAACAGCCCAATAATCAGTCCAGCAACTAATCTAATAACAGCAATAGTTCGGCCATAAGCAGTCACTAAAAAGGCCTACTAACAGTTTGACTATAGCACATGATTTAAAAAAAAAACACATATCCCTATCCAACGCCTGTATGAAGGTGTAAACCCCAAAAATAAGGCCTTCGCAGCATAGACCACAGACAAAAAAGGGGACACGTACCCCTGTCCAGAAATCAATTTTTACAGCATCGAACAAAGAGAAGAGAGTCATTACAGCATCACCCCTCTTCTACTAGGGTTTCCTTGGTGTTACGACCAAGGAAGAACCCAAAAAAAGCAGCCGCAAGTGGCCTGACCAGTCCGATTAGGTTTCTTGGTCTTCCACGTCCAAGAGATCGAGAGAGAAAAAGAAACTAAGCAACGGCTTGGTTCAGATGAGAGAAAAGGTTCTTTCTAGCCCAGAATTGTGCTCTGATACCATGTGTTCTTTCCTAGAGAGAGAGAGACGAGAGAGAAGAGAGAGAGAGAGAGAGAGGAGAAGAGAAGGGAGAGAGAGATCTGATTGGGAATTGTGAGAGAATAAAACCTATTCAAGGACCTCACTTAACAGCTTAAGCTTTTAGGTTGAATGGTTCTTTGACATGGTATCAGAGCCACTTTGACCAAGTGGTCTAGTGTTCGATTCTTGTCACCCCCATTATAATTAATTAAGTTTCAGCACAAGGTATGGGTGGGCCTGTGCTGTCCACGTTTCAAGCCCAATGGGCTTTCGTGTGAGGGGACATGTGAGAGAATAAAACCTATTCAAGGACCTCACTTAACAGCTTAGGCTTTTAGGTTGAATGGTTATTTGACAGGAATCAAAAAACTATAGCTGGCGGCGCCCAGCTTGTTATTTATATTCACTCAATATAAAAGGATAAGAAGTTACAAGTATGCCCCTGGCGGCACTTCCTAAAAACAAACAAATAAAAAAGAAAGAAAAGAAACTAGCTGACAGCATACTAACAACAACTACAGAGAACAAATAAATAAGCTTCACAGCACATCCCTCCCCCCATTTTTTGAATATAAGTTATCTTCTTTTCAAAAAAAGATTTCCCACATGAATGCAGTTGAAAGGATCCTTAGATATTTGAAAACTTGCCAAGGGAAGGGAGTTCTATTCAAGAAGCACAATAAAGTTGAGATAGAACTGTATACTAATGTTGACTGGGCAAGATTTATCGGGGATAGAAAATCTACTTCCAAATATTAAGCATTTGTTCTAGGGACCCTGTTTATTTGAAGGAGTAAAAAACAAAATGTGGTTGCTAGATCAAGTGCAGAAGCTGAATATAGGACCATGGCTCATGGTGTTGAAGAACTATTGTGGCTTAGGACTCTTTTGGGTGAGCTGGAAATGAAGGTTAATTGTCCTCTCAAATTGTACTGAGACAACAAAGCTGCAATTAATATTGCTAATAATCCGGTACAACATGATAAGACTAAGCACATTGAGGTTGACCAACATTTTTTTTTGATAAATGAGAGTAGTTTTATTAATTCAAATAAAGAAAATACAATCAGCCTAGGAAGAGGCACGAGATGTTACCTCCCCCAAGGACTGAATCATATACACTAAACATGCCCAAGCTTGAAACACAATTACAAAGTAGCCCAAAACAGATCTCCCCTCTACACCCCTTGCTTGGCCAGAGAATCAGCCATTGCATTGCTGATCTGCTGATCTGCTGATCTGCTGATCTGCTGATCTGCTTGACCAACATGTTTGTGAGAGAAGGATTTATCTTTGGTGATCTTTGCATTCCCTACACACCCTCAGAAATGTAGATAGCTGATTTCTGCACTAGTAAGTTATGATAGAGATATCATTCAACCATTCAGGTACAATCTGGTTTCTTTTCACTAAATTTCTATCCTAATCAGCACAATAGATCATGGTTAGTGATACTAAAACCGTATGATCTCAACATGTCAAAACACATAACATACATGGAATTCAAGAACAGAAGAGGTATGAAACCAGCATTCTTCAAGTTTCATGAACAGTAAAGCTTCCTTTCTTTTGGGTAAGAACATAGAGTTAAGTTGCTGGATCAAATAAGCTTTAGAATAAAGATTATAGAACAGTTAAACACTCTCTAAAGTGCACCTGAACTTCAATTGCAGCCTCCCGTCCTACAGTAAGCATCTGAACAGTTCCACGCTCCTTTAAACAGTCACGGAAGGATGGTAAATGGAGTTTCTTTGCTACAAGAAAATCTGCCTCAAAGTAAAAAAGCTATGTCTAAGATGTTGAACTCAAACTTCAGCACTCTTTACCATGGTATTACAACAAATTCAACATAAACCAGCTTTAGACAATGTTAACTAGTAAAATATATTGTATTCATGTAATATCAGAATGTAAAAAAAAATAAATACACTTGAATTAGTTGGTATTGAGATCAAACTGATGCTTACCAGTTAAATAATCCATGACAAAGGAATACAAATGAGAACGAGCAACCCCGCCCCCAGGTTCTTTCTCAAGTAATGCTCTTATAGATCCATGAAACATCACAAAAAGAGAATGCACTTCCTTAAGAACTCTTTGTAATGCATCATTACGCCAAATTGCTTCTGTATCCTTATTTTTCTCCACTACCTACAATAAAGTAGATGCTGTGGTTAAGAATCATCTTCACTAAACAACAGGTAAGACGTGAAATACATGACCCAAGAGTAAAGATTTAAATTTGATCATGTAAGTAAAGCAAAAGCTATAACCTCAGGTCTGAACTGTTTGTTCAGGAGAGTATCTAGAATGGCCAATGACATTGAAGATGCTCTTGCAAGAAAAGGGGTGGGAAGAAATTATCTTTGTTTAGAGGGAACCTGGTCCAGGGCTTCAGAAAATCAGATAATATGTCTTTCTTTTTATTGTTAAGAGTGTGAGCCATGCCTGTTGCAAGGTCCCCTGCCCTGATGTCTTATTAAGTGCAGGCATTATATCTCTCTATTCACTCTTACTAATATATGGATATCAATAAGATGCTTTGATCGTTTTCTAGTGAAAAAAACAAATGAGATGAATGTTGAATTGTAGGCTCTCCTAACAAGGACACTAGAACATGATTGGCTCCTGATAGTCCAGTTTCTGTACAGATTTATTGAATTTTCAAACCATGTTTTAGGGGATTGTTTGAGCCCATAAGTAGCCTTCTTGAAAACTTTGCCTTGACCATTAGGCATAGAAATTCCATTGGGCATCAACATATAGACTTCCACCTTATGATCTCCATACAAAAAATCATTTTTAATAAAGAAGTTCTCCTCTCCATTATTAGCGAAGCCCAAGGGGCTTTTATTCATGGGCAACAAATAATAGATCAAATCCTAATTGCGAATCAATGTGTTAAGGAGATACAAAAAACTAAACAAAGGGGTTTTGTTTATAAATTGGATCTTGAAAAGGCATATGATTTGGAGAATTGGGAGTTCCTAATTGATGTATTGAGAAATTGTGGGTTTAGGGATAAGTGGTGTAAATGGTGTTTGGGTGTATCAGTTCATGTCACTACTCAATTCTAGTCAATAGTATGGTAAAAGACTTCTTCCCAACTTTCAGGGGCCTGAGGCAAGGGGACCCCCTTTCACCATTCATCTTTATTTTAGTAGCCGATGTGTTCAGTAGAATCATTACCAAGGCTGATAGGGAAGATGTAATTAAGGGTTGGAGAATAGGGAGGAATCAAGTCCCAATCACTCATATCCAGTTTGTAGACGACCTAATATTTTTGTGAAGGGGGTAGTAGTGAGAGGTGGTAAACTTGAAAGATCTAATAATAAAAGGTTTTGAGAAGATCCCCAACCTGGAAATAAATTTGGAAAAAAGTTGCATGGTGGGTATCAACTTGGAGGTGAGGGAGATTGAAATTGTTGCAGAATGTCTTGATTTCTCTATCTCTTCTTGGCTTATGTCCTACTTAGGGCTTCCATTAGGAGCAAACCCTAGGGAGAGTAGCTTCTGGACTCTAGTGGTGGAAAAGTTTGAGAAGAGACTAGCCTCATGAAAGAAGAACTACATCTCCTTGGGAGATATGACCACTTTAATAAAGGCTACTTTGGCAAACTTACCCACTTACTTGTTTGTATTTAGGATACCACCTAGAGAAGCAAAGAAATTGGAGAAATTAATGAGAGATTTTGCTATTGGAACCGGGACAAGACAAAAAGGATCATTTGGTTAGGTGGGAAGTTGAGTGAAAAAGTAAAGAGAAGGGTGGTTCAAAAAAATTTAGCATTGTTAGGAAAATGGTTTTGGCATTGGCCTTTGGAGAGAGAGAGAGAGGTTATGGTATGAGGTGATCAGAAGTATCCATGGAAGTTCAGAGAATGGGTGGGATGCTAGTGTATCAAGACGGGCTAATTTGGCAGCACTTTGGAAGGCCATTCACAACACTCTTCCTCAGTTTCTCAGGTATATCAGGTATGGGGTTTGTTTTGGAAACTCAGTCTGGTTTTGGGAGGATGTTTGGGTGGGAAATAACCCCTTAAAAGACCTTTTCCCTTTGTCATACTCTGTCTCTCTTTATAAAAATGAATGGTGTTGGAAGATTTCTGTAATTATGAATTATATTTTATTATGTGCTATTTTAGGTAGTTGAGAGATTTGTGAGTGTAGAGAACACTGATGTGGGCCCCACAGCTATGGTCCCACTGTGTTCATAGGGTAGAATGTGTTCTAGTCATCCTAGGGTTAGCTGGTGGTCAATCTGTTATTTCAGYTTTATTKTGTTCTATTTGTTATGTAAATACTAAGGGCAGATCTGTCCTTTCCATGTAATTAGCATAACCTATAAATACTAAATAGAAGTGGTGGCGGCAGAATATTCAGATTTTGTCCTTCCTTTCAATTCTTGTGTTCTACTGCTCTCTCTTTACTCTTTCTCCTCTCTCCTCTATACCTTTT